CTGTTTGATGCCAACAGTAGCAGTGCAAAAGTGGGAAAAAGCCAGGACAACCCCAGCAGCCTTGGGACAGCAGCAAAGCACCCACAAAGTAAGAGATATGAAGTCGTAAGTGCTGTTAATTCACATCTTCGCTTACTGGACATTAACTTCCCAGAATGGAAAAGCCCTACAGAAGAAAAACTAAGAGGATCAAAAGACGAGACTGCATTTCTCATTTGCTATCTGGCCTTTTATTACTGTGCTTAAGTGCTCCGAGACAGGTGAAGATCCATGCAATCAACAGTTAAGGTGGACACAATTGTGTTTGCAAAACATATGGCAAGCACAGCAAACAAAACAGAATCAACACTGCCACTAAGTGCAACTTAACACCTAAGCTAACAGCGAGGCAGAAATTCCACTGTCTGAAAAATCCACACATACACAGAAGAAAAGCATAGGGAACAATATGCTGGTAAGTGCCAAGTACAGGATGAAGGTATTTTTCTTATTGTTCTTAGCATTAAAAGATACTTGGAAAACAACAGATCAGACCATGAGAGGCCTCAGAGACAGATATTCAATTGCCCAGACAAAGGAGAAGCACTACGCTAAAGCAGGGGAAGGGGATCAAGCAAGAGCACGAGAGAGTGCCAAAATACAGATTATTATTTGTCAAAATTTAATTCTGGGTCCTGACACCCAGAGACAAGAGGAAAGCTGTTTTTTGCAGAAAAAGCACCCCCAGGCTGAATACAGCATCATGAGAAGAGTAGGCACCAGTCCAATCTAAAAATTTTAAAGTAGTTTAATGCAACAATAGTATTTGTTCAGTCTGTTTTCATATGAAACCTTAAGAAGTCATTAGAAACAGCTTTTTATTAGTTATACTAAGCAATCTGTTCCCACTATGACTCGTTAAAAGAAGCAGCTGGTAAGACAACTGCACACATTTGTCGATGCTTCTACAATGCAAATAATCTCACCTCCAGAAACAAACACAAATGGAACCATCACATTCTGGTTAGAAGTTCATACGTGAGAAAAACAGCCTGGAGTAACTGCAATAGCTCTGCAGAGTCACAGTCCTCAACTCTGCCATTCCTCACGACTTTCTTCTACATTTGTCTTCTGAAAACGTTTCTAACAACAGCTTTCATGTTCATGAAGCATGCCAGACTTAATGTCACACATCAAGAAAACTGCCAACACAACCTCCTTCCCAGTACTGAAAACAGGTATGAGTAACAGTGGAGGACATCTTCACATAGAAAAAGGTGCTCCCTTCCCAAATAAAGGCAGGCTTTGGGGTTGGGAGGACGATTAAGGAGGTGCGACACAAGACACTACGTGATCCCAGCCATACAGCTTTGAGAAATGCTACATCCATTGAAGAAGCTTAGTCACCACAATAAAGAGCTTCCAAGTACTACTGTCTTTAGGAGATCACAAGATCCCTTGGGAACTTTACCACCTGACAATCTGTAAACCGCTGTCAAACACACTAATAACTCCACAAAAATCTCAAAAAAATTTTACCATGACTTTGAGGTACGGAGCAGTTATTAAGCATTGACTGCTCATGCACAAGAAAAAGCCTGCCAGTACTACCGCACAGAATGGAAATTACAACTAATTTAGGTTAACCTGCAGACTAACCTTACACATTCAAAATCGAAGCGCAGACTCTCCTATCTTGGAATACCAAGTACCTACAGGTACACATATTCTATCTGTAGACACACCCACACAAATCTGTGCATAAGGCAGCTCACAGAGCAGCTCGGCACTACAAAAGCACTCAGACAAGCACCTTTCAAGGTATGGGATGCCGGAACAGCACGGCTCGTGGATTTTATCTTTAGACTTCGGTCCCTTCCTGCACAGCTACATATGATAACGCAAGCAGTACAGCAATCACACTCTCCAGCCTCGCTCAGTTGTAGTGTGCAGATGGTATTCATTTAATGGGCTAGTCAACGGCTTGCTTTCCTCTTCATTCTCATACTTCCACTGTATTTCCACTTAATCTTATTCTGAAAATATTTTCCCTCTCAGAAGCTTCTTTCATGCTCCACACTAAACTCTGTCTGTGAGGCATTAGTACGACCAGCTTTTCCACTACAGATCTTTAAAATTACTATAACGCAAACACAATTCAAAACAGGCTCTATTAGCTTGAATCACATCTGCCAGCATGCAATACTTCCATTCATCAGACAAAAGCTAACACAATACTCGTATCAAGAAAGATGCAATGAACCCCATCAGGGACAAAACGTGGTTTCAGTGAGTGTCCAGGGCTATTCAGGACAGTGAATACAAGAGGCAAGGAAAAGAAACTCCTGAGGACAGCATTAGTAAGCTGAGCTTCTGCAGAGACCTCTGCTTCTCCTCTGGAATGTACTGACAGATCTTTCTCTCTTCCCCAACACTTCCTTCAAGTTCTGGCACACTCAACTCAGCCAATTTCAGCTTGCTCCGACTACACAGACATTCAGCATCAAGGTCATTAGAGCACCACAAACTGCTCCACACTTGCCATTTCAATATCCTGTCCCAGCTCATCCCAGAGCCAAACAAGGAATGCTCAACGACAGCCAAGCAAGCCAGGAAGCACGTGTTAGCTCTTCTGTAGCACTGCAAACATGCACCAAAACAAACACTGCTGGCTAGAATAGAAACTCTAATTAGAATTTCCTAAGCTCTAGGTGATCTAGATTGAAAGAAATGCAGTATTTCAAAAAATAACTTGGTCAAATTTCAAAGGATTTTTAAAAGGCAAACATGCACTCCACATTCTGTCATATACTCCAGCTTCCAAGACAGTAATTTTTTGTTGAAAGGTTCTCATGTATCAAGATTTTTCATGTGAAGATACCACCTATATCTTTCCACCCCAATACAAAAAAAAAAAAATACTTGGCCCATATTGCTGAAAAGCTTTCAGCTACAGCAGATAGCCACGATGGAAAATTTCAGGTGGAGTTGCTGAAGTCTAGTACACATATGAACAACTCAGTTGGCATCTTGCCATTGTGAATAGACCAGAAATGTTGATAACACGCAGAGCTACCCTGTCCCACCTCTATTGTCCTCACCTAGACAGAAGGTATGTGAATATCTGAAAGGACCATAAAGCCTTTGCTGTACAGAGCATCACAACTTTTCAGAGCCTTTCAAAAGCTTTTAATTACATGGCATCATATGCCTAAAATTATGATACTAGGTGAACAACACCCAGTATTAAAATTTCTAGTCCTTGAATATGAAGTAGTAAAATATTTGTCAGGAAGTATTAAAAAAGAATTATAATAGCAAACATTATTAGAAACTGGCCAGAACAATTTGCATATACTATATCAAGTATCCTAAACAAGTACAGCTCAAAAGAGAAAAGCAAAATGTAAAGGAGCTAAAATGTCATTTTTATATTTCAAAACAAATCCAAAACACAAATCACCAGTGGGCTTCTTTAAAGGCTGCACAGGTTACACTTGTATGAAATCATCCTTAAAGCTTAACATAGCACGGCTAGTTTTATGCAAGGAAAAAAACAACAATTTTTTTCCTCCTTTTTTCCCCGTAACACTCAATTCTGAATTCCCAGATAACTTTACTTGCTAACATCAGTTAAGTCAGAACATTTAAGAACTCTACCTGATACTTCCCAAGTTTTGCAAATTTAAGAGACATTTTACTGAAACAGATTCAAAAGATACTTTATGCACAGACTCTTTCTTCATACTTGTCATACCTCTGCATCATTTTCCATTTATGTGTTAAATTCAAAACTTTTAAACAACAACTCATTTCCAAGGAAACAAGACTACACGGTCACTGGAAGATTTTGCTATCAGAAACATTTATATAGAGACACCATAGAAAACAGAACAGATTTTAAGGTAAATGAAAAAAATAACATACAAGTGGTAATACCTATCTGGTAAATTATGTTTTGCCTAAGTCACATTATAGACCTGTCCTTAGCAAGGAGATAGAGAGGCATTTTTAAGTGAGCAAAAGAAACAAACCATACCGGAGATAGCTGCCAAAATAGGCAACAATGTTTGGATGTTTACAGTCTTTCATCATAATGATTTCCTGCTGCACAACAGCAAAATCTTCTCCTGAAAAGCAGAAGGATTAATATTTTCATTGGCCTGGTTCATAGTCACATCTCAACTAGATTTTCAGTACATGTTTAACAAATAAACATTTCAAGTAATTAAAACTAATTACCTACCAGTTTCACAGACATACAAAGCAGCTGTAAATCAATATACATTAGCAACAGCTCAACAATAAGCAACTATATTCTTAAGAAGTTTCATTCTGGCCCAGATGGACCTCACATTTGCCCTTACGATCTTGGCCATAGCTCTTTCTAAAGTCTTTATGTCCCTCAAGACTCCACTGCGTCCATGCGCCTATGCCCTGCCAAGAGCCCAGGTTCCTAAAAACATGACAAAACTCTGTTATTTTTGGCCAAGTGTTCAATACCCATTAGATCATCTTCCTGAGGGGAAAGGGAAAAAAAAAAACACAACAACACACATTCAAGAGTATGCTGCTGCAATTTTCAGTAAAGTCAGTAAGCACGTATTTTATGGACTGTGCATAACGTGTCAAGATAAAACATTGACAGAGATGTGGCATTTACCCAAGTGTTTGGTACCTTGGTTGTCCCTGTCTTTCTAGAAAAGGTTCTCATGAGATCTGTACACTGAGAAAATCATGTATGAAATTGAAAATCCAGAGCGATTTTTGGTGTGGGGGTTTTGTGCAGCAATTTTGTATGCAACTGAAAGAGGGAAAGTGAGAAAGATACAAAATGTAAGCAAATGTTGGTATCTTCTTAAGAAATACACTTCACGTGGGGGCTTTTTTGCCTTCCAGTATCTTGCATTGCAGCTCCTCTGAAATTTCCTAAGTCAAAAGGGCAAATTATAGCTATTCTGGTATGCTCTTTCTAAAGAAGTTCTTCTCAAGTTTCTTTAGTTACTAGACATAAACAGTTCACAAAAAACAACTCATTCTTACTAATTTCACAGGTGAAACAAGCCTGAAGGCCTAAAACAACCATTGAACCTCATGACAAACTTAAGACAACCTATAAGCAAGTAAAAAAAAAGGAAAATTCAAAGTACATCAAAACTCTCATTTCAGTGGGCTGCCGTAGCACACTTAAAGAGCTTTTAAACCAGAAGCCAAAGCTACTGTCTAAAAAGTTGAATATAGACACTAAGCTCATATTTAGCAATTGCTGCAACCCAAAATCATTCTTAAATACAGCTGCTGATAAATTTCAAACGTAACACAACAAATTCCAGCAGAACTCGTCAAGCTATTACCTAGGAAAATGTGTTTTAAGTTTCTCTCAATACATCACCATATTGGTGACCTATTCATTTGGTACTTTTTAAACCAGAAATCTGATATTCATATGTATTTTATTTAATGGAAAACAAATTTCAAGCCACAAGCTGCAAATTAACTTTGCAACACGCTGTCTACTAACTGTGGAGCATTGCTAATGGCTTGCTGTATCCTGGCTAGACCTTTGAACATGCAAATACAGAAGAGCAAACAGGAAATTATTTTCACATGCTGACAGGTACTTCCATGAAAGGACACGACTCTTCCAGTATTTGACCAGTGGTTTAATTGCATCGAAAGTACTTATACTTTAGAGTAAGTGCCTAACCACTATTAGCCCTACGTCTGCCCACTGTCACCAAATCTGCAAAGCTTGCAAAGAAAAAGTCAGTGCCACAGGAATGTGGACACTGCCCGTCTGAAGCTGTGAGTCAAGCCTCTCCTGTGACGGGAAGAGACAAGTACAGAGAGAAACTCAGCTTGCAGAGCACAGAGGGTAGCCAAAGCACATTCTCTGTGCACACTCAGGTATGCAAAGGCATCACAAATACTTGATTCAGCTGCAGGGTGCCAGTTGGCCCCATCAGCAAAGCACGAGGGCAAGTTACCCCAGCTGCAGCACAGCCCCAGGCTCTGTCCACAGCTCAGAGAACACACACGGCACAATTCTCCAAGTCCTACTCAGCACAAACCACATAACACTCTTTTAAACAAGTCACTTCATATTTCTGAATAGTCAGCCAAGTGAAAATTTGCATTATTTTAAAGGTTGACATCACCCGAGTCCTTTGAGCCTAGGGTTCTATCCCCACTACACAAGTCTCCTTCCCTGTTTCATCTTTACAGTTCCATAGGGAGCCCCAGCATGGCTGCTCAGCCGAGCTGTGCTGCTAACCCACGTCCTGCACAGCCAAGTGCTCCAGCAAGCGGAACTGACACAAAAAGCCAAAGCAGCAGAACTGCACAAGATAACCTGAGACCACAGCTTTCAGTGTAAGTGTGATGAACACACACACTTTTGGAACTATGTAGTAACATACTGTCCTGTCTCCAATTCTTAAATGCACATGCATTACATAAACACATTTTTTATCACTTCCAGAATTTTAAGAGGAAAAAATGGAAGAAGCCAACAACTTCTTTCCCTTCTTGCCCACATTAGACCTGAAGGATCAAACCAGGTAGTAGCTAAAATACTATCACCCACCCCCCTCAACCCCCAACCCTGAATCTTGAAAGGGAAGACCAACAGTTACAAGTTAAACAAAAAGTTGATTCTACTTCCCAGATTACTGCTCTCCTGTTCAGTAAGTGTCCTTTGTAAAGGCACAATATAAGCACAGTTCAAGCATAAATCTAGCCTACAGTGAGCTCCTAATCACTCTCCAAGAGAATCTGAGGAAATGTACCCAATTCCTGGATACTAACGCTCACCTATTAGTTCACCCTTCTTCCTTTTTATTTCTTCCACTACACTTTTTCCAGGTGAGTCCTTTTCTGCCTTACTGTTTTCGTCACTTCTTTTGTTCTGTACAGGATTTTGTATCACATGGGTTAAAAACATAATGCAAAAAACCTCACAACTCTCTGAAATTTTAATCAGCTTTCCTTTAACATCTTGCTTGTCATGCTTGTTATTTTTTAGAATAGCATATTTTGTCCTAAACCTAAAGGCAAAAGTTATCCCTTCTTTTAATAAATGGACTCAATTGATTTAGTACAATTTTATCTGAAGCAGAAAAATATTTCGTTTCCATGGCTTATTTCTGTTAAGAAACACTTACCTGGTTCTAGTTTTATTACTTTAATCGCTGCTAGCTCACCCGTGTTGACATTTCGAGCCTACAAAAAATAAAAATAAAAAAATTTAGAAAGCAGAACAGAGCAGCCAGCTCTCCATTCTCAGCCAGACATTCTCTGACAATAAGGAGTCAAAGAGCAACCAAAATACAGAAGAGTCTAAAACAGTTAATTTTTTTTTCTAAATACACTGTGTATTTTTTATTTGCTTTGCAGCATATATTTTCATTAGATAAGCATCATTATTGAGTTCGGTTATATCCAAAAAAAACTGAATTAAAATAATGCCTGTCCATGATTAATGACAGTGTACCAAACACCAGGAACTCTGTAGCTAACATGCTTCAGCACACATTTGTAGCAAGCACTCTTCCAACAAGACTTCTCATCTTGAATTTATTTTCTAACAACAAAGCAAGCTATCTCAAAAAAAACACAAAAAAACCCAAACCACAGAACATCACACAAACAAAAACCAAGCAAGCACTAGGCAGCTAATTTGCACCAAGAACTGAAGCTTTAAGTATGTTCAAGAAACTACGCTGCCTAAAACAGTCCTAATTTACGTTAGTCCTCAACCACACTGTTACTGTGTGCTAAAATCCATAAACAAGCCGACCACTGAGATTCTAGTGCAAAGCAGTAATGGCACACGTGGATCTCACAGCAGACAAGTAGGGCTGGGGCAGCATCAAGTGCTGCACCGGGCAGCGTACGTGACTGCTTCCAAGACTCCCATGAGAGCCATGCAAAGCTTCCTCCTCGTTTCACTACGTGCCCCTTGGTGCTTACTCTCCAACTAGATAGCAAACAAAGGAGTTGGAAAACATTCCCTTCGTACACACAGCAGCTCTATGGCCAACTTCAGCAGCAATTACTCAGCATTTTGTACAGGGTTCTGTCACGCTAAAAGCCCACATTCTACCAAGCAATCAAGGACTCTAGATTTTTTTAAAGCCATTCAGAAGAAACATAAATCACAGTAATAATTATTTGCTCTTCTAGAACTGTTGCATTTGACTACTAATTGAAAACTGGGGAGCCATTTGCCCCATGCTTTCAGGATACTTCATTACTCCCACATGCACGCATCCACGGGGCGAGGGCAGCAAAGCTGCTCCCCAGCACCAAAGCAGCAGCTCCTGAAGGATGTTCAGCTACAGCCTCCCCTCTCTCCAGTGGAGTCTTGGCACCGGGAGCCACACTGTGCTGGATGACAGCTGCACTGAATGTCAAGCCCACTCTGTCCCCTAGACAGGGCACAGAAGGTGAGAGCAGTCCTGCTTTTGCCTCTTCCCTCATCCACTTTCGGATCAAAAAAGGCCAGAATGACAGAACTTAAAGATGCAGATAAGCGCCCATCTTTTACGTGGCTGATGGTTTCATTCAAGACGCTTCAGGAGCTCAAGGGCTCACATCTTTTACTGACTGGCCATGAGACTCATCAAATACCATACAACATTGATTCCTAACATACTAGCTCAAGAGCAGGTTGTGGAACAACAAGTGGAGGGAGAAAAAACCCTTGGATTATAAAACAATAAACAAGCAATATAGCCTGGAAATAAATGCAGCGTATATTCCTGTGCCTAGAGATCTACCCAGGTCATTCCTAACAGAGCTGATCTCAAACCTCTCGCTGTTACTTGGTGTGGCAATGCTCTTCTGCAATGCTGGGAGCGTACCAGCATTTGCAAATAATTTACGTACAGATCCCGAGACCAGTGGAAATCCTGCAAAAGTCAAGGAGTAGTTAAAACTTGATCGATTGTTGAAAAAACAGTTAAAAAAAAAATCTTCTCTGTCAGTCTTCCCTGTAAGCCATCATTTGCCCATCCCACCAATGGCAGGGTCTCCACTCATCACTCTATGGTGGAACAAAGACATTAAAATACAAGCTCCTTTTGTCTGTGCCAGAGAATGAAGACAACACAGGAGAAAGTGGCACCACCAAAGCACGAGCTAAGATTTTAATTTCTTACTCCTTTTCCCAATACATTCTATTCATAGGGAGAAAAAAACATAGAGGCAAGATGTTCATGAAGCAAAGGTCAGCATTTTTTACCCACCAAGAAAAAATACTGAAGCTTTAATGAAGACCTGAGATCATCAGGGAGCCTTGTTAATACTTAAACACCTGCTTTGAGGAAACTTGTAGCAGTAAGATAATCAATGAGATACAACTACAGTGGACACAAGTGAGGAGATCCTGAAGCAACACACCCTACACGCAGCTCAGATGTGCAAGCCAAGCTGGAAAAATTTCACAGGCTTCAGGGACAGTGCAAGCCTATCAAAAAAAAAAAAGTTTCCTTTTTAAAATTTTTTTTTCATTTTTTGGCAATACAGTGTCCAGTTGTCAGAAATTTGTTTCTGACTATGGCTTCCTAAGTCACTATGCTCTTCAGAGTGCTATGGCAACTAAAGCCAAGAAAAAGGGTGGGTAGGAGTTAATGACAATTTTAGAACAAATCTTAATAAAACATATGAGAATACTCATCACAGAATCTCATGTGATAGTCATGCCAGAAAACTATCAATAATAGACAGAAAAATCTATAGATAAATCTACAGACACATGGAGCAGGATATGCAAAATCCCAGCCAAAGGAGTCGATTCTGAGCAGCAGGTACCCTTCCCACACCTGAGCTCTCCACATCTCACAGCTGATTCAGCCCCCTCTCATTGCAAAGGGATTTCTTCTTCAACATCATGTTCTCAGAACTGTTTAGTATCATGGGCATCCTATTCCTTTTGGGTTATTAGCATTGAAGGTGTTGTCAGAAGCAAGAATATTAACTGCTTTTGGTAATCTGGGTATAATAAAAAAAAAAAATCATCCTGATTGTAGTGATACAAAGGTTTCTTGCAAAACATAGGTACCCCTGAGAGGTTTACAAGATCTCATCAAATACATTTGAAATCATCGGCTGTGAAACAATTCCTTGCCGAAGCTCACAGGAATGAAAGACTGAAGTACTGTATGCTTTTCAAGACACTTCGGAGCTGGCTCACACTCTTCATTTGAGGGTGCTTGTGTACATACCATGCAATAGCTCAGTAAGTTGAGAACACTGCCTTACGCTTTCATTTAGCACAATCACATCGCAGTTCCCAATTACTCATGAATTTTGAGAGTGGAGCATCAATAAAGAACAGCTGACTGAAAAGCAATTTCAAACAACTATTTTTGAGTTGGTTAATGCAAGCAAAAAATTTCAAAGAGGCTCACCTAAGAAAGCACTCATTCATTATTTTTTTCCTACTTGTACCTTAAGCACTCTTAACTCCCATTGTGACGATGAGGTTAACAGCAACAGCCAAGAGTTTTTCCTCCCATCCCTGTTTCTATGTGTAGGAGCCTGCAATTAATTTCTTCACATGCAGATTTCACTGTCAATGGGAATTCATCACCCAGGCTTTCCAGAAGCAAAGACTGGCCTACAATGCCTGCAGCTACATGCAGTCATTTTACTAAATATGCATAGCATTTATACAATGTCTGCTCCAAAACCTCATTCTACCAGTAGCTAGAAGAGCGATAGTCTACCAGGGATATGGACTGTCATAAACTGGGGAGGAGGTTAAAAAAACCTCACCAACACACAAGCTGAAGAAGCACTACCTAATGAAACAGGAAGAAATTACTAGTATCTCTGTGACAACAACAGGATATCAGATAAAAATGCTATAGAAAAAAAAACTGTCACCCACTAGAAGTAAAAGCTAGAAAAATCCAGGGTTTGTTACTGAATTACACAAAGTTTCATTAATCAAAATGCCTCACAATTGGAAAGATCTTATTACTCTAAAATAGAGAATGAAAGAGCAATAGAGTGGGGCAGTAGTCCGACGGGCTTTATTTGAGAAATATTAGCCAAACAAAAGATGGGCATGACTGGACTTGATGATCTCACAGGTCTTTTCCAGCCTCAACAATTCTGTGATTCTGTGTGTGTCTGAAAAGGAAGGAAAGAAGAGGAGGAGGAAGGCTAGTATTTCGCATTGCCCCTAACATACCCTACAATTGGGGATGAGAGGTCTGTGCAGCTGAACCAGTATAGACGAAAAATCCAAGGTCCAAGGAGGTAAACCTCTTAAAAAGGTTGTATTTGCCCTTCAAACAGAAACGGCTAACATAAAGCATATAATGCTGCAGCAAAAAGTAGGCCAAAAAAGCAAAAACTCTTAAAAGACAGTAATCACAGAATCATGTCAGGGGTTGGAAGGGACCTCTAGAGATATCTAGTCCAACTTCCCTGCCAGAGCAGCATTCCCTAGAGCAGCCACACAGGAACACATCCAGGCAGGTGTTGAAAGTCTCCAGAGAAGGAGTTAGGGGTAATGACAGGGCACTTCTGGTTTCGACTACTTCCTATGTGAAGTGTTGAACAAAATGTAGACGAACAATTTCTAAACAGGCTGTTACTGCACAGGATAACTGGTCCCAGGGCACAGACAGGCCTCCTGACTCAGATTAGCACCACTCCCCAGGAAAATGCACCCAAACAGCTTCCCAGCTCCTGTGCTTCCAGCCCTACAGCCCTCCCCCTCAATCTCCCTCAAAATCACATAAGTCCCCCAGGAGCTGATTCAAATCTCAAGCCAGAAGAAATCCACTTGCTTCTTTTTCTTTTCTGTTATTTTTCTGCCAGGTTAGCTAACCATGCTGGCCCAGGCATCACACTGGGCACCAGAGCTAATGCAAGGTAAGCAGCGAGACAGCCAGGAGCAGGGTAGGGAATTGCCCCTCTCAGACAACAGCAAGCTATTACACCAGTTCAAGCCCATCCTATGAAATCTCAGCTGCAATTAACAGGAATTGAACTACTAAAAATTACACCAAAAATAATTAGGTTCTACATTCTGTTAGGAGGTGTGATACCAAAACGCAAGAGAACTATGATTTTAGAAAGCAATGCTTTGATAAAAGTGATGTTAAATAAAAAGGTTTGAAACTAAGGCAAACAAAAATCCCTCTGCAAGGCATTGATTACTGATTAAGGAAGCCACAGTCAGAGAAGCTAAGACTTGTAGTACTTAGTACAG